GGGGGGGGGGAGGGGCACTTCCCTCTCCACACCCTGAAGATGGTCTCCCAGGCATGTTGAGGGACAACCTCATCCTCGCACATTCCCGGAAGTGAGAGATCTACAACCTCCTGACACCCAACCAGTGTATGAGATCCTCGACAGCAGCAGAGCCCGCCCCCAAACATTCCGAAATCAGGAGCATCGGACCATCAAGGTCTAATGATTCTTCCAATGACTCCTCCCCCGCAGCACCGGGGGCCCCGGCCAGGACACTATCCGCATGGAGAATGTGCACCCTCCATGCTGTGCTTGCCTTGCCTTCCCTCCCACAGACCTGCTGCTGGGTATGTATGAGACGGGGACCTTAGATTGTAAGCTCCTTGGGTGCAGGGACTGATGGGAATGTCTATTGTTGGAGCTATATACCAGAAATGAGGGGGGAATGAGGAGCAGCCATAGAGAACTTACATCAGCCGGTCCGGGGTCTGTGTCCTCCGAGCGCGTGTGGACAAGTTTCTGGTCCCCTCTGTCCATCTGAGAACAAACAAGAAGCTCCCATTAGGGATGAGGGAACCCAGAGCTGTACGATCTCCGCTCTGATATCAGGCAATGGCGTCATACTCACTGCACTGAGGGACTTGTCTGTCCCCTTCTGGCTGATTTCAGTCTGAGAGCCGGAATTGGAAACACCTTCAAAATATCTCCTGAAAGATCAGAGGATTGTGGGAGATAAATGCACAGCAGCCCGACAATGGCAGACAACTGGAGACAATGACAGATAACGGGAGCCAATGACAGATAATGGGAGACAATAACAGACAATGGGAGACAATGACAGATAATGGCAGACAACGGGAGACAATGACAGACAACGGGAGACAATGACAGACAATGGCAGACAACGGGAGACAATGACAGACAACGGGAGACAATGACAGACAATGGCAGACAATGGGAGACAATAACAGACAATGGGAGACAATGACAGACAACGGGAGACAATGACAGACAATGGCAGACAATGGCAGACAACGGGAGACAATGACAGACAACGGGAGACAATGACAGACAACGGGAGACAATGACAGACAACGGGAGACAATGACAGACAACGGGAGACAATGACAGACAACGGGAGACAATGACAGATAACGGGAGCCAATGGCAGGCAATGACAGATAATGGGAGACAATGGCAGGCAATGGGAGGCAATGACAGACAACGGGAGACAATGACAGACAACGGGAGACAATGACAGACAACGGGAGACAATGACAGACAATGGGAGACAATGACAGATAATGGGAGACAATGGGAGACAATGCCAGGCAATGACAGATAATGGGAGACAATGGCAGACAACGGGAGACAATGGCAGACAACGGGAGACAATGACAGACAACGGGAGACAATGACAGACAACGGGAGACAATGACAGACAACGGGAGACAATGACAGACAACGGGAGACAATGACAGATAACGGGAGCCAATGGCAGGCAATGACAGATAATGGGAGACAATGGCAGGCAATGGGAGGCAATGACAGACAACGGGAGACAATGACAGACAACGGGAGACAATGACAGACAACGGGAGACAATGACAGACAATGGGAGACAATGACAGATAATGGGAGACAATGGGAGACAATGCCAGGCAATGACAGATAATGGCAGACAATGGCAGACAACGGGAGACAATGGCAGACAACGGGAGACAATGGCAGACAACGGGAGACAATGACAGACAACGGGAGACAATGACAGACAACGGGAGACAATGACAGACAACGGGAGACAATGGCAGGTCTGTGTCCATGGAGAACCTGACTGATGGGGGCCTAGAGCACCACGACTGTAATACTGGGGGCCTAGAGCACCACGACTGTAATACTGGGGGCCTAGAGCACCACGACTGTAATACTGGGGGCCTAGATCACCACAACTGTAATACTGGGGGCCTAGAGCACCACGACTGTAATACAGAGGGCCTAGAGCACCAATAGTGTAATTCTGGGGTTCCTGCTCACCTCAGCGTTGGTTTTGGGGTGCTCATGACGCTGTCATTGTCCTCGATGTCAAATCCACTTTCGCTGTTGAATTCATCTAGACTGTCATACAAGAGTCCCAGCTCCTCGTCCTCCTCCTGTTCCCGACACGTCCGGTCCGCGTCCAGCGGCTGCAGGAGAGACAGAAGACAAATAAAGCCAGAGGGAGGATGTGCACCCGTCATCATGTGACCTGCCCAGAACTACACGGGGGGAGGAGCTTGTGAATCATCTCAGGGCAGGTGGGACCACAGTCACCAAACACACCATTGGTTACCCAATACACCGCCATGGACTGAGATCCTGCAGCGCCCGCAAGGTCCCCCTCCTCAGGAAGGCCCATGTACAGCCCCGTCCCTCTCCTCAGGAAGGCCCATGTACAGCCCTGTCCCTCTCCTCAGGAAGGCCCATGTACAGGCCCGTCCCCCTCCTCAGGAAGGCCCATGTACAGGCCCGTCCCCCCTCCTCAGGAAGGCCCATGTACAGGCCCGTCCCCCCTCCTCAGGAAGGCCCATGTACAGGCCCGTCCCCCCTCCTCAGGAAGGCCCATGTACAGGCCCGTCCCCCCTCCTCAGGAAGGCCCATGTACAGGCCCG